TAAAGTTAAAGTTATTGAACCTATAACTAATTCCCTCTGTCCCTATAAATTTTCCACTCCCCCTATTGCTACCATCCTAGTTCTTCTAGGTCACAAGTTCTAGGTGTTATGGACAGAGCATTAAGTCAAACAGGATGTGCCCATGCTGCTGAACAGCTCAGTCCAGCAATGAAGGGGGGAGACAAAAGCAAGTAGACATTTCAGAGCATCACATTCAAGGTCTCACACAGGTCTTTAGAGTGCTCTAGAAGCTAAGAAGAGTTACTGAGAATGATCAAGGAAGGGTGGAACCCAGCAAAGGTTTCCTAGAGGAAAAAGACATGTGGGCCTAGGCCTGAGCCTGAGGGACAAGAATGAATTGGCCCCATGAGGGGAAGCTGGAATAGGTATGCAGTTTTCAAAGTAGCCTCCTAATTTATGGTCTTATATTGATGCCTACATTTCTCCTTCTTAAACTCTGTCTTCCTTTAAAACTAAACCATTAGCTTGGAGGTGAGGGGCGGGTGGCATAAAAATCCCTTCCAGCTAGCAAAGGAAAGGAAAGAAAACAATCCCTCCCCTTTGGGCCTGAAGAGATGAAGCCAGGAGTTGAGAGGAACAGAGGAGGAGAAGATAGCAGTCAGACACAGGCACGTGGCTGAGCAGAAAACAAAAGCATAGGGTTTTTTGCCCCCAACAGGAGGTCTGGAAGGAGAAACCAAAAATGGCAGCCACATTATGTGTTAAGCTGAAGAAGGGCTGAGTTTAGCACCTTGGGGCACAGGTAAGATGAAGAAGGAATCACGCTTCCACACATCCTGTGGCAAGACCAACAGGTATCTGATTTTTACATAAAATTTTGGTGTGCATCCTAAGCTCAGACAGAAAAGAATCTAGCTTTTCTATGAATCAAGAGAAAACCGTCTTGAAGTGGCAATTAGCAGAAAACTAAGAAAGAAATTCAAATACGTAGCTACACCAGAAATGTGTAGGAAAGGGAGGAATGGACAGATCATCCTAGAAGGCTGCCCAGCTACTGGTAAGAATGAGAATGTGCAGCCAAAAGTCATGAGTCCACGCACGAGTCACTACACTCCCCCAGCACATGGGCACATCAATAATATCCACAAATAGTTCATCCCCAGAGATCCTCAAACTGCTCTCAAAAAGTTTCTGCACTGCAACACAGGAGGAAGAGCAAAAAAGAGAAAAGGGGAAACCCAAAGTGTGGGTTGTTTGGAGGAGAAAGGGCCTGCCCCCAAGAGTTCGCAATGCAGTTTGAGAAGCCACCCATGGAACCTTACTTCTGCATGGGTTGCCCCAGGAACCCATGTCATCCCACTCGGCAACCAGGGGTTGCCCCTGGCTCCCCTCAGAAGCCAGACACCAGACAGATCCCTAAACAAAACACAAGTGACAGTTGCATTTGCTATGTGAGTCGTGGCTGCCATTTGTCCCTCCACCTTGTCACCAGGGAAGCCAATTCATGCAGTATGATTGGCCAGTCGTCCTCTCCCCTCCTCCATGTCATGCCATAGCCTCTTCCCCTCACGCACCTGACCAAACCCAGAGCAGCTGTCCAAATGAGGCAGGTAAGACAGAATCCCAGGATGCTCGAAAGGGGGAGACAGGGAGGAAAAGCAGGTAGGGTGGAGCAGGTGAGGGAAGGCTTGGGCCAGGAAGAAGTGAGGTGAGGGAGAGGGTGAAGGATGAGGGTGGGAGTTGGGGAGGCCACCACTGACAGTGACCATCTCCACTGACCCACGTGGTCAGCAACACTTTCCTCCCTCCACTGGCCGATGCCTATTTTCCAAGGACCCACTATGCATTCCAGGCACAAGGGCATACATCAGGGGCAAAAGGGACAAAACTCCCTGCCATCATGGAGCTTACATTAGAGTGTGGCCAGAGAAAAAGGGAATTCTAAGTGCAGGTAAGAACAAGAAACTAAAGCTCCGATATAGCCTCTTACAACCCAGAAGAGTACAAATATCTATCAGACCACATATCTCAATTTGCATTTGGGGGGGCCTATAAATGGCACCCTCCCTATACTTGTACTTCTACGGGTGACCAAGGGACTCCCTTTAATCTGACTCATCCACAAATACCTGCAAATAATTAACAACAGCAGTTATTATATTTGATTGGATTCCAACTCAGTATCTGATATAAATCAATTTTCTTATATTTGCCTACCTTCCATAAAGCTGCAAAAATGGCAGAAAGCCAATCTGAAAAGCTTTTACCGCTATGCCACAGCTATACAAACACACAGGCACTAGCTCTGGAGTTACCTGTTCAACAAGTCAGAGAACCATCTTTCTACCCCATTTAACAAAACCAATGAAGAAGCTGATCTCACTACAATTTTTTGTCATTTAGCTCTCATAAGCCAACAGATATCTAACTGTTCAAACATGGAAGCTCATACAAATGAACTCCAAGTTATCTAGTGTTGCCATAATTCCCCCAAAGCAAGTGAGTCATACAGGGACCTGGGGATCTTTGGCTCCATCAAGGGTGCCCTCAGTAACCGTCCTTGTGCTCCTGTGTGGAATGGCTCCTCCACTATGGATCCTCAGGACAAAACACTTACCCTCTTCCCATCACACTTACTGGTCTTCCATATTCCTGCCAAGAACCAAACTCATCGGCCCAGTACCAAACCCAGTCAGTGGTGAAAAGGAAGTGTGGGGGTTTGGTGACGGAAGAGGCCGTGGAGAGGCGGCGAGCCCGGGCAGCACCAAACGTCATGGAGACAAAGTTCAGACATTTTTCATATTGAAGAAAGTGAAAACTACTGGCCAACTCGGTGAACAGGATACTGCAAAAGAAAATGAGAAGAAGATTAAAAATTCCACCAGCCAAACGAACACAGGTCCCTCAGCTTCCACCCATGAGAACACATGGCTGGTAGATGTAACTATCAAATGTGACATGCATATTTTAAAACACGTTTTCAGAGGTGGAGGAAAATGTTTTTTAAGGTCAGTTTTGCTGTGCAAAAATAATAAAATCAAGGTAATATGGAAGACTAGCTATTATGAAAATTCCACTCACTATGAAAAGCAGAAAATGCTGGTTGAAATATTCTTTTTTAAAATGTATTGCTGAGCTGACAAAAAAGGGAAATCCTTAGAAGCCAAAAATAACAATAGTTAACATACACTGTTTATTGTGTGAGCCAGACCCTGTATTAAGTATTGTATATGTATTAGAAGATTAAGTCTTCACAACCGTATGAGGTTGATGCTATCATCTCCACTTCACAGATGGGAAAACAGAAGCCCAGGAAGGTTACGAAACCTGTCCAAGGTCAAACAGTTAGTAGATGGTAGAGCTGGGGTTTCAGGTAAGCAGTTCCAGCTGCACAGCCTGACACTTAGCCACCAGGATATGCTCCCTTACTAAAAGTGATACTGCCTAAAGATCAAAGGGGAAGGTATAAAACTGGTATATGAATGAGGATTAAAGCCAGTGGCTGTCCAAGGGCAGTGTCAGTGAGCAATGACAAAGAGCCTGGTTTTTAGCACAAAAGGAGAAACAGGAAACAAATGTAGGGTCTGAGTACGGTAGGAGGTTAAAGCTCAAAAAAGATACTTCTGCATAAAACCAGGACCCTGAAAGACCACACACTCTTAGTAAAGGGGAGGGGGTGGTGGAGAGCAGACCTGCCTTGCAGTGGCAGTCAGAAAGGAAATCTGCCTGCATTAATGTTGGCTCTGGATAGAAGATTAAAAAATTCCCCTGAGAACTTACAAACCACTCAAGCCTCACAAAAGTTTTAGGTTGATCACATTTTCTGTGTGCAAATAAACTTCCTCCCAAGGTAGCAATTCCCTGAGAAGCAAACGCAAATCCTCTCTGGAGGAATTCACCTTCAACTTAGGTCTCAAAAGAATTTCCACAGATAAAGTTTCATCAAACATGACCTCGAAATCAAATAAATCACAAAAAACATGTTTAAACAATACACCATGAGCAAAAGTTGGCAAAAACAAATCGAATCAGACCACCAAAGGCTACAAGTATTAGCATGTTCAGATGCAAATATGTATAATATGTATGAAGTATTTTTTAAAATTGAATTGAGTAACAAAAGTATCAGTAAGGATCAAGAGACTATAAAAATGGACCAGGTAAATTTGAAGAAAAAAATAGAACTTTTAGAAGTAAATAATATTTAACAATTGAAATTTTAAAATCACAGTTTGGCGGGACACACTGCATCTCAGACAAGGCTGAACTAGCGAACTGGGAGACTGAGGAGAAGAAATTCCCCTGAATACAGCAGACAGAGAGAAAGAGAGAATGAAAGAGAAGTTAGGAGACATAAAAGATAAAGTGAGAAGATCTCAACATATGTCTGATCGGAATTCTAGAGAAGTAATATTGACACCTGAAGAGATCATGGCTAAGAAGCTCAGAAAGCACAACAAATTATAAGTAAAATAAAAAAAATAAATCCATACACAGATCTTAATGAAACTGCACAAGACCAAAGAATGACAAGATATTAAAAGCAGCCAGAGAGAAAAAAGTAGAAACCTACTGCACTGGATTGAATTATGTCCCCCAAAAGATATGTTGAAGTCCTAA